ACATTGTACTAAAGGTAAATAGTCTCATTCTATACTTTCCCCTTTTAGAAAGGGAGACAATTGAGTGTTGCTTTTGTGGCTAGAGAATGTAAGTTCAAGATTAGAGCGTGTTAGGAATCAAATGCATAGTATGATACTGCTGGAGCAGCAAATCTTTTCATTTTTATTTGAGGGAAGTTTATTGTGAGCAATTTAGCACTGTAGTTATATCTTTTGATTTATCAAATTATCTATTAAAAGACACATGATCTTGCTTTCGACTAATTGCAAATGGATAAAATCATAAATAATTCACCTCTTGTATATGGTTTGGAAAATTTCCTTTTGTCTAATGATCTTACAGGGAGAAAGTTGAACACATATCCTTTATGAATCTGCGCAGGTGAGTCTTGATTATCCAGACGAGTTTATAACCTTGGTTCGTGGAAGCTTCGATCCTTTGAATGAGGTCACCGTTGCGGTGAAATCCCTCGCTTTCACATTGAATCGTCGGTCATTTGGTCTATTCAGACCACGAGATGGTATCCCTTTTGCCTTCTATTTTTCTTAATTTTGTAAGAATTCAGTTAGTTTGATCAGCCATAGAAAAGATTTTAAACGGACCAGACTCATCACTAGTTCGGCGGTCGGTGCAATCTCAATAACAGTGGTAGAGCCCAGTTCTCCCTCTCCTTAGAAAGGGATTCGAAAGTGGCATTTGATAGCTGCTTTTGTGATGCCACTATTTGACGTCGCTCTTTGTCATAACTATTTGAGTTAAGAATATCCATCCAAAAAACGTAACAAAACATATTATGAGAGATTTTGAAGAGTCTATTTTGTACATAATGGCATGGATAGATGTTATAACCAGAAAATCTCACTCAAAAGATAAATTTCATCCTCTAACCCAGTAAGTTACATGGTGAGCGAGGGTGATGGTGATGGCAGTGGTAGTGGTTGTGGGGCGAGGCCATGGCAGTGTTGCAGCTGAAGCTTATAGGTGGCGATAGTGGTGGTGGTGTTGTAGTGGCTGTGGTATGAGTTGGTGGTTGCAGTATCATGATGGTCGTGTTCGGGTTATGGCAGTTTGTAGGTTGTGGGAATGTTGTGAAGGTGCAACTGGGGCAACTATGAGGGTTTGGGGGAGTAGTGGTGGGAATGGTGAAAGTTTGGTGGTGCTGAGTTGACAGTTGTGGTGGTGGGGATGTTTCATGCTATGCTCAAGATCTATCGTGTTAAGCTGGTGGTGTAGAGAGAGAGAGGGAGGTCATGGTCGCGACAATGCAGTGGTGGTGGAGGCAGCTATAGTGTTGGCGGCCACGGCTTGATGATATGCTCGTCTTAATCAACTAAGAGTAAAATGCTGCCTGTTAGAGATAGGGACCACTTGACTAACCTGTTTGGTTTAACTACTAAACAATCCGTATGGGCTTGTTCAATCTCCATATTCTTTTCCCTAAACAAGTATTTAATAGGCTAACAACTAAAAGTTAACAAGTACAATACAAACATGATTGCTGTGTACTATAAATTTGAGTTGTTCGTCATAATTTTTAAAATGTTGACATTGTTATTAACGATTGATTTGTCATTTAGATCTCTGTCTAATCTCAAAATTTTTCGCATCCCGTGCTAGTTAGTACTTAGTATGCATTAGATACTCCTTGTTAGAATTCGTGCATGCACAAATATCTGCTTGTGTTCGCAATTTTGTAGCAAAAGAATGGCAATTAGAATAAGGGCATGGAGCGGATCAGGTGGAGGAGAATGGGATGATGGGTTCACACGGGCATTAGACGGATAGTAATAGCACATGATTTTTCTATTGATTATCTACAAATTGAATATATTGACTCTTCTGGTTCCTCTAAATGGTATGATAAACATGGTGGGAGCCGCTCAAGGATTCAAAGATGAGGTACTTGCTCTTCGTTGGTGTATATATCCTGTTCTTTCTCCTTTTCTGCATATTAGAGAGAGAGAGAGAGTTTTTGATCTCTCCTACAATAAGAGAGAGATTAAAACTTCCCACCATTAGTATTACCTTTTTTTCTCTTGGAAAATTTAAGTCAAATGTCTCTTTAGGATTTGCTTTTTTGGAAGAATATTTATGAACGTTGAGAAATCCTGCCGGTGCTCCAAAAATTCGAGCATAGATTCTGAGGTTTTGGAGCAGGGGCAAATGTTCTGGCTTTTCCCTTTCTTTGTGGTCTCTTTGAACATTGTGGCGACATCTAAATATGTTTTGATACCATGAATTTTGAGAAGAGTGATAGCAGATTGCGAATGTGCAAGGTTCAAATCTGAGCAAACCTACTCAAAAGAGAATGACCAGAAAAATTACCATGGAAAATAAAGTAAGGCTATAGAGCTGATGATTGCCAAATGAATCTTGTAGGTTAAGCTTGACTATCTGGATGAGACTATAATGTCATTAAGTGGACATTTTGAACCTAAGCTTATGAGATCCCCATCTTTCTCAACAAATCGAAGGACATCTGGTCCATATGGCCTTCAAATTGGTACTCCTTTCTCATTCTCCATGACTGATGGCAAGGTGGTGGGGTTCCATGGTCGAGCCAGTGATTATCTCAATGCCATGGGATTAAATATAATGCATGTGGGTGCACCATCTACCAAGAGCTACTCCTTAGAACAGGACTACGAAACTGTGAGAGATGCAGATTTCCCTTTCCACATTGTTTTATCTTCTCGAGAGAAAGGGCCTACCAAAATGGTGAGATGTGTCTCTCTTCTTCATATGTATTTCTCCGTCTAACTACATTCACATATACGCACATCATGGACTTGAGTTTCAACCATTTTAAGCATTTGGGTTTTTGGTCAGGTCAACTTAACATCCATGTATTTACCGAAAGAAAAAACTCAACATCCATGTACCTATTCAGTTTTGTTTCTTAGCTAGGGGGATTTGTTATTTAAGAATGCATGCCATAAGCATACTGGGCATTGTGGTATGCTATGCCTAGGCAGGGCATCTGCTGTCCATTCTCAATTCAAAAGGTGGAGATGAATCTGTAATTGCGGTAAACGTTTGAGATTGGAGCTTTGCATCGTCTCTACTGTTAGCTGCTGAGAATGGAAAGTTATAACATGAAAAAAAATGGTATGGTATACCAAGCATGTAATACAAGTAGTATTCTACACATAGGTATTGAATCTTGGTCAATGGTCAACATTGAAGCGACATCATCATCATCATCGTCCAAACCTTTTCTCAACTATTTCGGGACGGCTACTTAAATCTTGATCCGCCATTCTACTCTATTAAGGGTTATACCCACAATGAGGCTATGAATCCATATATCTTTTCTCACTACCTCCAACTATGTCCTTTTAGGACTATCCCTTGTTTTTTTTTAGCCTTCCACTTGTACTAACAAGGAAGCCACATCTGTTTGTTTGGTGCGGAATGTGCTTGTTTTGAAGGTCAACATGGAATGTGGTGAATGCAACTCTAAATTGTCCAAAGCGAGAGAAGCTGCAGAAGGGCTACCAGGTAAGAATGGCAACTACTTCCCTCTCATTTTAGGATATCATGTTTTACCAGTGTTTTAAGTAATGATTTCAAAATGTTATAACCATTTCTTTTGGGGCTTCACTTAAGGGGGGAATGACTAGACTTCTCAAAAAATGGTCGTCTTTTAATTGGATATAGAACACCTCAGTCCTCAGTCGAACAGAACATAGTATTTGGTACTCCAAAAAGGCTTATATAATCCTCCATTGTGACAACAGGTAGTAGAGATTAATCTCCATTGTGAACATGCAGGAGATGTCCCAATGAAATACCAATACCATATTTCATCGGATTGTTTATAAGGCATCTTTTTAGAATTGATTTATTCACTCTTGTATTGTTGCTGAATAGCATTATCCACAAGAGTACACAGATTCACAGTGGGTTCTGCTTTGGAACAGGAATAGAGTCAGGGGAGGACAAGCGCATCATGGTCGTCAAGGGTGAGTAGATTGATGCAGTTGAGTTAATTGAATTGTTCAAAGTGAAAACAGGAGTTGTTACGCTCCTAAGCTTTGACCCGGCATAAGATCGACTGTCTATCTATTGAAGCAATGGGCCAAATCATTTGGATGGTCCATTTTGTAGCTCTGCACCATAAACTATATACCCAAATCCTTTTTGAGGCTATTGTATATTGAGAGAGAGAGAGAGTCGAACTCTACAGTGAATTGAGAGAATTGACAAAGACTGAGTAGAACTTGTCTACCATGTATTTGAGTCTACCATGTATTTGAGAGAGGCTCAGGGCTACCATGTATTTTGTGTGTGTGTGTGTGTGTGTGTGAGAGAGAGAGAGAGAGAGAGAGAGAGAGTTTCTAAACAATCAAAATCTGCAGTGAATCAAGTTGGAACGAAGATATACTTCAGGCAACATCTGCAAGAAGAAGAAAGAGTGGAGAAATAGGAATGGAGAAAGAAGAAGGGTTCTTCATAATAATCCAAAAGCCAAAAAAGATGCAGTCTTTACATGCCTATGGTAGAAAGAAATGGACTTCAAAAAGAGTGCATAGAAGGATTCTATTTCTTCATTAAGAAAAAGCTTTTCCTTTCACAAACCTAATAAGGAGCACAAGAACAAGGGAATAGCAATTAAGTACTGACAAAAGCCAACCCAATCTTCCGAAGCGAGACTACAGCATCCTCTCATTTGATGTTATGAAATGGGGGTATTTAGGGCCTTTAGAGAAGAAGATTTCTTAGGGTGGCATGTTGATTCCTTGTGAGAGACGCAAGTGCCTCCCCACAGGCCAGTGGTTAATTCCAAGGGAGCCATATTTCTTTGGGTCAGTGGAAATGGCTTTGTTATAGGGATCTCACATTGCCATATGAAGATAACATTTAGATAATTATTGTTCACAACATTCAAGCAAGAAGTGTACTTCAACAAAGTAGCCATGCTCAAATATACTAATGCGTTCAATGATTGTAGACACCAATGGAGCTTTAAAGGTTTTACTATGTTCATTGACCATACTGCAGAAGAAAACCAACAGCGAGTAAATCATATAATTGAACAGAATAAGGAATGAAATATTTTACAGATAGATATCACAAAACTTCAAAATACATATATGTTACAGGTTGATATTGCCCAAGCAGAAGATTTACAAACAAGCTGGAAATGCCATGATATCCCACCAATGGATATTTTTTTATCAGAAGACATACAAAGCCAGAAATAGATAACCCAGCCACAAATTAATTAGGCAAGAAAGATATACACGCTGGTCTGGTTCACAGTCCTTGAAAATTCTTCATGCATTTAGTTCTTCAGAAAATCCTTCAGTGAGAATGTGGGAGGGCCCTCCTGATTTTAGGAGCATGAAAAGATGCAACCATTAGAAAACATCCTCTGAAACTAAGCCATAAAAAACAAGTACACATATGAACTACCCAGCTACAAAAGCTAGTCAAGCGACAGATTTCATTGCCGAGCCTATCCGAACCCTTGCCAATTTCAATAAGTTTCCAAAGAAAAATCAAAAGATACATCCATTTTATTCAAAAGAAGTGAAAAGAATAACCATGATGTGTTACCCAATGTGTTCCTCACAAGTGAGGATCCATCAAGGTCGAAGTGTCAAACTAAACAAAAATCGTTGGTGCGTCACAAGGATCTAGCTAAGCAGGCTAAGAAGTCAGTACACACAGGCACTTCATAAAGCATTCATTGTTGATAAGTACCTTTCCTAATTCTTGGTGCAAGTATTGTCTGACCACAGTAATTTGTTTCAACAGTTTCTCCATGGATGAATAGCTGGGTAGATTGGCATGTGCTGTCACATCAAGATTCGGCGGGTGCATGACATGAATGAATAAAATAGCAATTTAGGCCACAAAGTTGGAATGATGGTAAGAAAAGGAGGGTTGAATGGGAATAAACAAACAAGATACTCAACTTCGCACCCAAATGCATAAAATTTCATATTAAACTGAATTTATAAACAGGGCATAAATGCATAAAAGATAAAGACAAACCAAGTAGCGCTCGATTTAGGCTTTCCGCAACTTCCTGCCTGTAATCCTTGCTCAAGAAATGAAACATAGGGGATTTTTCAGGTTCATCATAAGCTAGCAAAGCCAATAGATCCTGCAAAGGTGAGGAACTTAATCACACAACAAAATATGTAGCTGCTGAAGATGGCAAAAATGGGCTAATGACTTTATTTGTTCAATGAACCACAAGTTGCTCACGTGGTGGATCAGAAAAAGATCATTGTTGAACTAAAGATGATAACAGGCAGTAGAAAAATGGAAAGATCAAGGTGAAAGTGAGATTACTAACTTCCAACTTCTCAACATATTTTTCAATCTTCCCAAAAGATGTCAGGTTCGCCTGAGCAAATTGCAGGGCTTCTGTGCTGCCATGTAAGACAACAGTATTTTTATTCAGATGTTAGAAACAACCTGAGCATAATCCATAATGTCAAAATAAAGGCAATACATATTCACTCACCACTTCCTAGAACGAACAAGCTCGACATAATGCAGACTCAAGAGGTCAAAATGCAAGTCTCTAGTTTCCTCTAGCAAGTTGGGGGCTAGCAGTTCTGTTAATTCTATGGCCTTGAGACCATCACCTTCCATCGCACAGTGAAAAATGGCTGAAACAGAGCAAAGAAAGAGAATTTTTAATAACAAACCACCAAAAAAGATTAATATGAAAAATGGCAATTCAATTGATTTAAAAGATATAAGAAATACCCACGTTTCCTTCTATCAATATCAATAGGATAATCAGCCGGATGCTTCATTCCAGTGGAAGCAATGAAAGTCTCTGCAGTCCCCTTGAAGCAATTATGCACAAGATAAGATAGTACAACATTTCGAACATCAATGTCATTGACATCCTGTGAGCATATGTCATAAGCCAAATCAGTTTAGAATGCTGACCCCATCTTATCAGAAAAAACAGTCTAGCAGATAAGTGACTAGTTCTTAAGACAGAACATCCAATAAAAGTACCTCACAATCTAGAGTTAATGCCATCTCAATTGTTACTCTGCTTCTTGAAAATAAAATGGACTTATCAAACATGTATATATAACATAATGAGATGGTGCACAAAATTGGAAAAAATAAGTTGGTCCTCCCTCATTATAGGAGATTATCTCCCGACAAATCTTGCAAGAAAGTCTAAAGTCTGCACTATTGGCAACAGTAATGCCATTTCAGCGATTGTGAAGCATCTTTAAATATTAGAAGCTTGAACAATATGTACTATCCCCTGAAGGCTCAAGATTTACGGAAATATCAGGAGCAAAAAGATGTAAACAGGCAGGAAAAACTGCAGAAAATAGAAGTGATCTGGCACTGTTTAAGCAATTACTACAATTGATACTTGAAAGAAACGAACAAAGGCATATAAATTGATACTTGAAAGAAACGAACAAAGGCATATAAAGTGTAACCCCAAATTAAGACTGCCCATCCCATTTCTAAGGAAAAATAAAATGCTCCTCTATTGTGTTATTGAGAGTTGAGGGATCATTATTTCTCCTACATTCCGGAGCAGTAGAGTGTTCGCTGATAATCATTAACATTTATGCATCACAGTGACAAATTTGATGCATGGTATTGGGATATTGGACTCAGTGTTTAAAAGCTCAGACCGATGGGTCAAACTGGTCACCTACAGGTCTGAGCCAAAATGGACGAGTCAGAGAGCTCGCTCGGTCCACTAAGGCCAAATTATAAAAAAGGAAAAAAGGAAAGCAAAGAAGATGTACACAAGATTTAAAGTTCTAAATGTTTAAAAAGGTTTAGGAACATCAAATTTTCCTAATAACTTTCCTTTCAATATAATAAAGCTTTTTTTGATGTTGTTTATGCACCCTTAGGTCCAAGTCCTTATTCAGGGAGGGACTCAAACCAGGCCGCTACCAGTTCCAGTTCAACTCAGGCGATTCCAAGTAAAACGTGAGATTGTTTTTTAACATTGATTGGGCTTATGGAAAGGCTCCATGGTAATGAAATGTTGCCTTATTCCATTGTATGACTAATGACAAGCTGACCAAGCATTATACTTATCATCATATTATTCATTATCCTAGCTCTAATGACATAACTCTTGTTTATTACCATGCTAAAATCAATTATTCCAGTATTGCAATAAGATCTTGTATGGTTGCCTGGATACTTCAAGATTTCATAGTGTTCAAGATAGGATATGTTCCACACAAATAAGGAAAGCACAATAAGAAAATACCATTGCACTTCGACTTTTTCCCTCATTTGGATAAGAGTATAAATTGTACTAAAAAAGTAGTTAATTATGCCAGTATGCTACTCTACCTCATTTGTATAACTCCATCCTCGGATCCATATAGGGAGCATAATAATGAACAATTTTATCCAAACATCAGTGAATCGCTGGTGAATAAATTCAGAAAAGATAACAGATGATCAATTTAAACTCATTACGGAGTAATTTAGCGTGGTCTCACCTTAAAAAGCACAAAATTCCTCCAAGGATCATCACAAGCCCCAAGACTCATGCTATGAGCTCCTAAAAGAGTGTATTTTACAGGCTTATTTGAGCGCCAATCAAGGAATTACAGTAGGACCAATAATTGAAACCCAAAGCTCGTATGGAACTTCTAAATCAATGTATAGAATTTAAATGCTTTACAAAACCTGTTTTTCTTTTATAAAATAACAAAGAAGGGTGTTTGTACTCAGAGCATAAGCAATTTATCAACAATGAACAATTTATTTTCTTTTAACTTCCTTTAATATGCTTAGAGCAAAAAAATATCCCAATGCTAAAACACAGAGAAGGAAATAACATCTTTCTGAATTTAACGAAGTATTTCAACTAAAGTCACTGAGTTTACATACAAGAGAGGACTTCAGCAACAATATCATATAGCTTCAGAAAACCGATAGAGAGAGGCCAAACTCCGTTGAAATAAAAGAAAAAGGCATCGATTCATCTAGTAGAAATTAATGGATTCAAAACGTGAATCACTGGAAGTATAGAATGATCGCATGAGATATATGACACCAAAGCCCCAGAAATCTTAGTTATATTATGCAATAACCAAGATGAAAAAGGAGCAATTAAACATCCATTAAAGAAGGGAAAATTCACCAGATGCTCATATTGCCGAGGATCCAGGTCCATGATCATCGTCCCATAGAAAAGAGATGCAACAGTGAGGGTTTGAAACCCAGATCCAACATAAACAAATGCGAAGGAAGAAGAGAGAGATTGAAAAATGAATCTCTGCGACCTCCAATGATCTAAAACTCTCTCTCTCTAAATACTAACCAATCTCTCTCTCTAAATACTAACCAATCTCTCTCTCTCTCTAAACCCCAGCCGACTTCTGTTACGATCGAGTCTCTAGAGAGGGGGGAAAACCAGTCAGTTTCTCTCTACTGGATTTGGTTCGTTTTTTATCCATGCGAGTACATAACATTGTGTGGTCACGAGTTTCATCGCCGTTCAGTTAATTGATTTGACAATGATGGATGGACTCGCCACAAACATGACATGACGCGTTGGCGTTTCAGTCCGTTTTCATCGAACCCACTGATCGGACGGTGATGGATATAAAATTATTTCTTGGATTGGGTCCCATCTCAATCCACTATGAATCCATTGACTGAACGGTGGTGACTCTTACGACTACAAATATTCTTGTAGTCATGTCGACGATACTATTTCATATGTTCTTCTATGAACAATTGTTTCATGCGGGACCGTATTTCTACAATATGAGGTCTGAGGTATAATGCATCCATCTTTAAGAAACCAATGTTGTTATATTTGCTTCGGGGTTTTGTTCAGTTTGGTAAGAAAAATGAAGCAATTCAATGCTTCGGCTTCGGGGAAGGCTTTGGATTTTTTTATATTTAATATAAATAAATTAGATATTTATATATAAAATGAGAAATGATCCTATAGGACTCTCTCCTACCCATATGTGTAGGACCTTCAAAAGATCACCATTAAAGTTGGTATGAATATTTAGAAAAAGTCAAGTCTCACACCCATATGATAACTTTTTTAAAGATATGTGCCAACTTTAATGGTAATCCTTTAGAGTCCTACACACATAGGTGGGGGAGGATCCTATATGATCATTACTCATATAAAATATACACAAATAATAGAAAAAATTAAAATAAAAAAATAATTTTTTTAAAAAATATTTATATGGCTATTTTCTTACCGGTAGAAACAGACCCGAAGCATACCCAAAACAAACCCAAAGCAATCCGAATTTGATCGAAGCAACCCGAAGCGGTCCAAATCTAATCGAAGTGGCAGCACCAGGCTTCACTTTTCTTTGATTTATGCCTAAAATCCGAAGGCTTCGGCCTCTTCAGCTGACGCGAAGCAAATTTGATAACATTGTAATTAACGGTCCGAACATTTTTTTAATATTATTATTATTTTTAATTTTTAATTATTATTTTTTATATTCATAATCTCCATGTTAAAGATAATATATTCTCTAAAAATTAAGATCAAATTATATTTAAAAAATATATTTACTGCCAAGCTCGCATTTTGATAATATGTGAGCTGGCCACATACGGAGCGCATCTTTTTTCTGTTATTGTTACCACTTAATTGTAATTCTTATGAATATTTTGATCCCATGAGAGAAACCTTAAGATATTTTTTCAAATAGTTTAGGAGTAAGGCGTTAATGGGGGGTAGTGTCAATAGGGCGTGGGTGGTGCTACCATCACGAGCCCAGCCCCGTTTATCAAAACCTCAAGACTTTGACCAATTAAAACTACCATTTCCACACCATTGGTTAAAGCGCCTTCCAAAAGTTCGGTCAAGATTGGCAAATGGCCTCTCTACATCGACATTGTGTGAGAATAAGCCCTTGAAATAAAAGATAAAAAAGAAAAAAATATATAGTAGGAGTGAACAAGAGATTTGTTTGATCTAGATTGCCCGGTTCCCGATTGGAAGAAAGCGAATCCATCCAAAGAGGATCCATTCCCACTTTGAACAAACACCGGGTAAGTAGGAACAGATTCACAATCTAGATCAATGATTCTTGATCCAGACCACTGAATTTCAAATCAAAGGGGTAAGTGCGCTTACGTTTTTTCTTAGTACTTGGATGTTCTTCGGACAATTCAAAAATAATAAGAAACAATTTAATGATGGATTATAAAAAGTTAATTATTCTTATGGGGTTTTATGGAATCTGAGCTTATTTGGTAGGTAACAGGTATATATATCATGCATATGGAACCTCAAACCTCAAGTAGCATGGAAAACATATTAATCATTAAAGAAACCTATTATGGGGAAGAAGATAGTGATTTTTTAATGTAAGAAGAGGCCCACAACTGTGGGAAGTCTATCCAGTTCAAATGACCATTCAAGTGTTAGTTACCAGGTGCATCCGGGGACGCACCTGTAACAGTGGAGGTGCATGTTGATCCAAATTTTTTACCAAAAGGGTAGGGTTTAGGTGCTTCTAGGGGCACATTACAGTGAGGATATAGATTTTGATGCAAAATCGAGCTTTGATTTAAACCACATGGATCATAAATTTGAAATAAAATAACTTGCGCTTTTAGAAATATTATATTGTTTGTTTGAACTTTGAAGTATACAAAAGGAAAGTCTACATTTGGTATAAATAGTCATCATTATTTTTAATCATTATTTTCATCATTCAAGCCTTATCCCAACTCTATGGTGTAAGCTACATGAATCTTGTTCCAGCTTTTTACTCTATCAAAAATCATATCCTTAATTAGACAAAAAATCACTATATACACAATTTATCAAGGGTCGTACATTTAGTCAGACCATAAATCAATATATTTTCACACACCATTTGATGGCATTTAGAAAATCACCTTCCCAAATCCTAACTGCATAACCCGCATTCCAAATCCTAAAACTATGAAGTATCACCCTCATCTCTGCTTCATTAGCCATGAGCTCCCCCCACCAGTCCCAAAAAGGTAATTATAATATTATCATTAGAATCTCTACCATGTTCCCCAATACGAGTAAGGACCTTCCGTCAAAATTTAATTTAACACCACCACTAAGCGGAGTGGTCAACTTGACTTCTATGCTCCCCTCTAGGATTTAGATTTACAACCTCCTTAATATAAGGAAAATTGTTTCATTTGGGCTGGACCGCATTTCTACAAATGCGGTCCAGAGGTATAAAGCATCCATCTTAAAGATGGATGCAAAGAGGTGGTCCATCCAAAAACAATTGTAACTAATGGTCCAAATATTTTCTTAATATAATTATTACTTTTAGTTTCTTTCTTTTTTTTTTTTTCATATTCATGATCTTCATGTTAAAGATTATATATTCTCTAAAACTTAGGATCAATTTTTTTAAAAAATACATTTATTGTCAAGCCTGCATTTTTACAATATGCGAGCTGGTCGCAAAGACACCGTGTCCATGATATAATGCATAAGATCCACCCTAGAAAGGCCTCAACCAGTGTTTTAAAAATCGGCGAGTCGAACCGGCGGTTCGACTCGAGAACCGGCACAGCCCGTGCCGATTTCAATACAAAACCGAGAACAGCCCAGTTCTAGAGAAGAACCGCCGGGTTCCAATCCGGTTTTGTCCGATTCTACCCGATTCAGCCCGGTTCCCTCCGTGCACGCGTGCGACAAGCACGTGCACGCGTGCGACACGCACGTGAGGTTACCTCAATATTTCTACACAAACATTTTTAATTTATATTACATAGATATTTATATACCAAAGTGGAATACCTATCTTTCGATGTGGGATAATTTCCAAACATTATTAAATGAAAAGGGAATTAAATATATTATATTAATCATCAAGTTATAAACATATATGGTGAGGTGGCGTGGTGGTTAAGACCTTTGTTTCTCCTTGTGACCTCTCAACGTCGAGTTTCGTCGTGGGCGTTATTTTTTTGTGTTGTATATATTGTATAAATATTTTTGTAAATAATATAAAAAGCATAAAAAGATGAAAAATAAAAAAGTTAATTTTTTATATAGCAGTTAATTTTTGTTGTATATAGTGGTATAATTATTTTGTTAAATAATATGAAAGGTATAAAAAAATAAAACATAAAAAATTTATTCTATTTGAAATCTCCATCTTTCTACTAACAATCTCTTTCACTAAATTTATTATAGAAACCTAAAAAAATAAATTTTTTAAAAATTGAAGTGTTATTTCCAAAATTTGTACGCATTTTATTAATTTTTACATTGATAACCAAATCTTTTATTTTATTTATTAATTTTTACATTATAAATCATGTAATGTACTATTTTTC